GAATGAGTTTAGCTGCTCACTGAAGAAAGTGTGTGGATCACTACTTTAACAGTTAGTGAGAATATTAATTAATTAATTAATTAGTATTATTTGTAGCATACAAGAGAAGATATTTTAGTAACAGAGAAACTTTTGGTAAAGGACCACTATGATGACTGTAGCATCCTGGTTTCCTTTTCTTTACTTTCTGGTACCATCTTTTTCCATTCTCACTTGTACTTTCAATGTAACGCAATTTACTTCCCTGGTATTCCCAACCTTGGAGCTTTCATTTTCTTGTGCCAAGAATGTAACATGCACACATCCTCTCTGAATTGCACAATACACATGACAGGACCATTTAGCCCTTAATATTATTTCTATTTTAATAACCATCTATATTGATGGTAGTAACAAAGGTAAGGATTAAAAAAAATATGCAATATAAGATATAGCTTTAAATTTATGTTAACTTTTATGTCCCTTTTTAATTTGTGTGAATTTATTTCCAAGAAAATGGAGGACTAATACACTGGCTTGAGCCAGTGACCTCCTCTGTATAAAATAATTTACAGAACAGTGCAATCCTTAGATCCCATGATCTTAATAAACCAAGACATAAAGATGTGCTACAGCATATTATGACTATATCACAACAGAGTTCACAGGTTCTTACTTTTTAACAGAGAAACATTATATTTCCTGTAAGAGCAGAGTAATAGGTCTGCTTTGTTAAAAGAGCAGAGATAATCTGCATTGTTTTCTGGTCTATCGGAAGTTTATACTCAACTTACAGTTCGCTTAAGTCACTATTTCTTAAAGGCTTGGTATTAATATATCTTAAATGAGTGTTATCTAGAATACAGCACAGGACAATAATTCTAGGTGTACATGTAATAAAACCCGACTTAGTCACTGAAAACATTAAGAAAATATACACTTATTACAACAATTGAAACCCATCCATCAGCAGTAAATACTGGAACCAATTTGGTGAATTAAAAAGACAGGATTTTATGATTGCTCACTGATAAATTAATGCTATATTCAGTTTCATCTTGAAGCCAACCACTTGAGTAATGAGTTCTCAGAGATGACAAACATGTTTCTTTTAAGAATAACTACTTTTCATTTGTTTGAAAGAAAATGTCCAAATTCAAGATCTAATCCTTGCTGAAACTGCTGGATCGCTCTTAAAAATATGGGCTAGGTAGTCCCCATAGCAACAGGAATACATTTCATAAAATTGCTAGTGTTTTTAGTGCAGGCTAAATATTATTGTAGGAATTTAAATATTTTTATGGCGTGGGACTGATTGTGATGGTTGCACAGTACTCTGAATCGTAAGGAAAGTTGCCCTAGAACCTCCTGCTTGCTATTACTTATAGAGCACCATCTGTGCGCAGGGTGTTTTACAAGAAGTGTAGAACACAAGGTTCTTGACCTGAACCGCTTCCAGTTGAACTCAGTGGAACAGGAAACACCCAACAAACTTCCCCTGAAAGGCCTGATAACATTGTCAGTGATAAGATCAGCATGGGAGGGTTTGTGAAAGAAGTGGATTTCAAAAAGGAGGGGAGAGGTCTCCAAGCAGGATTCATAGAATATCAGGATTGGAAGGGACCTCAGGAGGTTATCTAGTCCAACCCCCTGCTCAAAACAGGACCAATCCCCAGACAGATTTTTGCCTCAGATGCCTAAATGGCCCCCTCAAGGATTGAGCTTACAACGCTGGGTTTAGCAGGCTACTGCTCAAACCCCCCACTGAGCCATCCCTCAAACTAGAGCAGGAAACACCTATTTGGCAACTGGGCCTAATCCTGTAGGCATGCTCTGAGCATGTCTAAGATCTGATACCTGTCATATCCCACACTGGAGGGCAGGATACAGGCTGCCCATGAGGGTGTGGGGGAGAGCAGCACTGCACCCAAATCAAAGACAGCCACGGGCACAGGGAAACATAGGGCAACAGTGATGGCTTCAGCTCCTAGAGCATGGGCTAGCTGAGCAGCTTACCTGGCTTGGGGGGTCCTAACTCGAGGAAGAGTTTTGCAGCAGAGGATCCTGAGTGGGTGGGAGGTGCCTATCTCTGCCCAGTCGACCAGGTGTACTAGCTCAGCTCTCTTAGGTTGGCATTTCATTCCTGGCTAGTTTAGTTAGCTCCCTGCTCAGCTTGCAGGCTTCTAGGTATCCCCTTCTTTTAGGCATGTGACTCTCCCTGTGCATTTTTTAGGGAGCCTGGGCACCTAGCTTGGGGCTGGGGATTCCACTAGGGGACTGGCCATCTAGGGGTTAGATGTTGCAAAGCTAAGTGGAGCAACACCTACATACCTTTGAAGATCTGGGCTCTTGTGCCCACAGAATCCCGTTGAGTCAGTGGGACTCCACAGAAGTGTAAGGGTGTTATGCACAAGGGTGTGTATTTGTAGGACTGGGGCCCCATGAAGTACAATAAAAGGAATAATCTATTTTATACCATTGAAAGCCCAGGATTTCAATTTAAAATGAAAGTTTATCATCAGTCCGTGGTCCTTTAATTGGGGAAGCTTCCCACGAAAGCTTATGCTCAAATAAATTTATTAGTCTCTAAGGTGCCACAAGTACTCCTGTTCTTTTTGCGGATACAGACTAACACGGCTGCTACTCTGAATCCTATTCCATTGGGACTTTTACTAATTTCCATGGTCATGTTTTCTCTGGTGCCTCTGGGAGGGGAGTTTGGGGCTCCTCTGCATCTCCACCAGTTCCCGATTCAAGTTTTCTATAACACATGAGGGGTTCTCTACACTAAACAAACAAGCAAAACTACTTTGTGAGAGAGGATGATCATAGTAAAGGAAGAGAACGGCTCAGGTGGCCTGTCTCTTAGGCAGGCTTTCTGGGACCAGCCCTTTGGGACTTGGTTATCAGCTGGCCTACTGTCTTTAATTAGGGTCTACTTGCACCCCCTTCTCTTGGGGCACCCTGCTTTACAGCTAGTCCATGATGTTTCAGGGGAGGTGAGGCCTGTGAGTGTCTCTTTCTTGGCAGATCACTCTCTGAGGTGTAGCGGTCTTCTTCCTGTTCACCACAACCCACCCCACCCTGGGCAGGTTTTCTCTCTTTAAGATTCCCTCCCCTCCTCTTTCCAGTCAGAGCAAACCTAACAGGTGCACCTCGTTGGCGCTGAAGGAGCTCAGAAAAGCTTGCTAGTCTCCTCTCCCACAAAGGGAGAGTGTACCCCTTCACACTCTCCAATGTTTTACTGCTACTTTAAAAACAAACTAACTCAATACTAAAATGTCAGGAGTTCTACAAAAATGTCAAGACAATCCACTTCTATGCACTGTCTAATACAAAAATAAAAGTAGGCATCTATTTCCCTTGTAGTATCTATTGTACCATTTAGAAATTAGGAGAATGGTGGTGTTTGATTAGTTGTTGAAGTAGTGTGTTGGAATTGGGCCATGCTCTTTAGATAACTAGCGAATGCTAACAGGGACTGGTGTCATTTGCCTGGAATGTCCTTAAGATCTATATGCTAAATGTAGGTAATTTGTTTCCCTCAATTTTTAACTTTAAGAATATTTATTATAACACATTTGCAAGATACTTCATTTCATTTAACATTTAATTTAGATTTGCCCAAATGCGTGCTGTGCTTGCTAAATGATTTAAACGTTGTTCTGCTAATTTTTACATAAACCAGGATCACTAAAATTACCTCCTTTTAATGCTATTCTTCTGGAAAAATTGCAGCTTCCTAATGTTATTCCTTCATCACTGTGTTCTAGCAATTTTTAAATGGTGTAAAACAACACATTTTTCTACCAGATGAGTTTTTGCAATATTTCTGTTTAACTCTGTACAATTTTCAACAAGTGCTGAATCCAAATGAAGAATCTTGTACAAATGGAAGTTTAGACAGATACAAAATGTTGTAAGTGGCATACTTTTTCTTTTTGAAATATGAGGTCAGAATCTCAGCTGGCATAGCTCAATTGAAATAAATGGAGCTAGGCTGACTTACAGTAGCAGAGAGTCTAGCCTATTATCTTAAATATGATATTCTTAAAATACTGTGAATTTGTGCCCCTTAGTAACACAAGCCCCAGAATGTGTATGCACATAAATGCATGTGCCTAACATTGAAAATTGGTTCCATAAGATACAACATCCTGCACTGATGTTAAAAAACTACCAGTTAATTCTATCAGATAACAAGAAATGGTTTATTAATTTGTTTCTCATAAATCATATGTGCAGTATTAATACCTTATAGTACTTTAGTGGAAAATAATTTGAGACAAATACAATTCATCGTAGGCATCAAAAGAAGTAGCAGATTAATTCTGACTTTTTGGCATTACTCTTATGAATTTTTCATTTCTGATAGCATTGCATGTATTAATATTTAGGCGGTAAATTAAGGAACAATGATGGTTGTTCAGTGGTGCATCCCCTTTGTGCTGCTTTTGATTTGTAGAAGTGGCTTTTAGGCTTTTAAGGAGGAATTTGAAAAGAGAGAGGAAGAGCTGTTTGGGCTCCAGTTTACCAAAGCATTTAAATATGTGCACTTGGAGTCAACGGGACTTAAGCGCTTTCTTATGTCTGTTGTTGAACAAGGCTGGACTACTGAATCAGAGCTTTGGAGCAGAAGTTGAGGAAGACTGTTCCAAGTCTAACCCATGCTTACAAAATGTGGATCTCTCTTTCTCTTGTGGCTGACCCACATTGAGGCTTATGAGTCTACTAATGGAGCAGGGTTATTTGGTTGAGACAGTTGATGTTTGAAGATCAAGAAGTCCCACATTTGATTTCCCCATCAGAGACGACTTCTTTAGGGGCATTGTATTACATGAGTGTAAAGGAATAAGCATGTTTAACATTTGCAGAGGAATTCTGTAGCTGGTAGCCAGACTAAAAATTGTTAGAAAATTATGCAGTTTTTATTCTTTTAACTATTTAAAGCAATGCCACATTATTACACATTTGATTGCACATATCACTAATGGTTTATGAATATATATTTTTCTTCATAGATTAATTTCTACGTACTAGTGAGGGCAATCTACACCCTTGGACATAGTGCGTCTCTGATTGCTCTAACGACAGGAAGTATAATTCTTTGCCTTTTCAGGTAAGTATCTCACATGAACAAAAATAAGCAAGAAAATAGGAAGATATTTTTAAATTCTTGTCTGTTTTATGATTATTCAGATGTTTATAAAATTGATGATTTTTAAACTTTGAAGAATTTAATAACAAATAATGGTTGCATTGGTAACTTGAATTTATATTTGCACCACTCATATCACATGATTCCAAAGAACTTTAGAAATTCATACATAGTACAACCTACATGCACAAGAGTAGACCAGATCTAAACCATTTAAGGCTTTATTGATCAAAATCAACATCTTGAATTGTACGTGAAAATAAATAGAAAGCCAGTCAACACTAACCAAGTGGGCAGCCATGTTCTGGTGAAGCTTCTGGATGGTCTCCAAGTGTGTTCTAATATATAGTGTCTTCCATAATCATTCCTGAAAGTCACAAAGGTGGTGAGATATTGAAGAGAATACCATAGTCATAATGCTTTCGTTAAATGGAAATGGAAAAACGCTCTTCTGGCCATTGACACCACTAGAGATTCTGGGAGTAACCCACAATTCAGATTGGTTCACAGAATAAAGAAGGGCAGGAATATATTATGGGGACAGATACCTTCAAATGCTTTCACCTCCTCCTGCCTACTAGCATCACCTTTATCTTCTTCAAACTGAGCTTCAACCAACTTTCTTTCATCCATGCCCCAATCTCCACCAGGTATTGGAAGCTAAGAAAAGGCATCGTCCAGCTTCAGCAAAAAAGAGATGTTGAGCTGCATGTTATCTGCAGCATGGTGGTGCCAGAGCCCCAACTCTGTCACAATCTACCACAAGGACAACATCTTTTGGGGTCTTTCTGTCAAGAACGAACAGAGCAATTTCAGGAATAATCTCCTCTATCCTAGTTAAGGTCTGCAAGCAAATCAACACCACCTTGTGTTCAGCACTGTCAAGGGCTATTAATGCATGTGAAGGACTGTAGCATAGACTCCTGACTTATGTCCATCGCTAGAAGGTAGAAAATAAGGAATCCAGAGGACATCAGTGCAAGCCTTATCACAGACTCCTCAAAACCGTCACCCAAAAAAGGCAGGTCAAAGAGAGGGTGATAGTTTCCCATGCAGGGAACAAAGAAATGCTTATTTGAGGAAAGCTAGTCCCCTGAGAGACAGTGTTCGTCACCAGCAATGGAAATGAGCACAAACCTATGTGTGTGCATGCGGGCACTCTTCATTCACACAGTATCGACAAAATGGGGCATTGTATACATTGGGATCGTTCTTTGGGAAGTGGGGATATTTTTAGAATTTCAATCCCCCTCCCTTCTACCTAATTAATGCATCCTCAATGATAAATCACACTTGGGAATATTGGTTTGAGAATCTGTAAATGACCCAAATGCCTTTAAAAACCAATATCTTGTGGGGGGTGATCCAAGGATAGGTAGTTTCATTTCCCATTCTCCAGGAACAGAATAGCTGAAAACACCTTTGTTAGCTATTTATATTTATATTGAAGAGGCAGTTGTTGTCCGGAAGGAGCCCAAGGTGCTTTACAGAAAGTACCAATGTACTGTATATAAATATCCACGGAAATACATCCATCTTTGGGGTGGAGCCATCCGGCCTATACAATAGTATTTAAGAGGAGGAGTAAAGAATAACTTCTTCAAATGAAATTCCTGGGAGGAATTTTAGGCAATTACACTAGTGAGTTAAAAATTAAAAGTTACTAAAGCAACAAAAAAAATCAAAATTCTAACTTCATCCAACAGGATTAAAATTTGAATTTTTGATGTTAGTAATACATAGGATTTTTAAAACTGTGCATTGATGCATACAACTGCATCAGTGGAATTGGACGTGCTCGCCTCAAAATCTACAGCATTTATCCCTGAACATGTACACCATTATTTTCTGAAACAAAGTTCTGGGGTGGAAGGAGTTCAATTTAACTGGAGGTACTTTATGTACGTATGACAAATATATAAAACCTCTCATTTAGCTGGCTCTGTTTGCTTTCCCTTTCTAGTCTAGCACATATTGAGGAATTATGAATAGCAGAACTGACACAACTTCAGTGCTTTCTGATCTTTATTTAATGTACTGGCTACTATTTATGACTAGTCACGCTAAAATTAGGGCAATTAGATGAGAAAAGGAAATTTTGTTTCACACAGTTGCAAGGTTCTCTTGTACACTCTTTATTAAAATTGAAACTTCTTTCATGTACTTGCAGAGTTGGGAATAAATTTGACCCTTGTTTTCTGTCAGCGCAGAGACCTAATCGGGATTCTGACTACTTTTTTCCCACCAAAGGGCAGATTCTGAAGTATTTTACGGGGAAGGAATTATGACCCTGGCATATCTCTTTGATACATTTTTTAATCCTAAATTGCCAGCCAGAGACACTGAGCTTCCTAAACCTTCTTGCTATTCAAAATTGTCCCAATTTTTCAAATGTCAAGACTTTTTCATCCCAGGTTACACTTTGTATGAACATTAGGATTAGAATCAGTTGAAAAATTTCTGACAGTGTTTTTCATCAGAAAATGCTGATTTGTCAAAATGAAAATGCTCCACGGGAATGTTTCAATTTTGATGAGGAAAAAAATCAAAATGACCTTATTGGAACAAAACATTGTAACTTTTCATTTCAAAACTACTTTTCATTTTGAATTTTTGGCATTATATAATTAAAATAATAAAAATACCTCATTCTGATGCAGCACTTTCCATCAATTGTTTTCAAAGCACTTTACAATTGAGGTTAATATCATTGCCCCCATTTTACAGATGTGGAAACTGAGGCACAGGGAGGAGACATGACACAAGGTCAGCCAGCAGGCCAGTGTCAGAGGTGGGAATAGAATCTACATCTCCCAGTCCAATGCTCTGTCCATTATGCCACACTGCCTCTTGCACAATTTTTAAACAGTCAAAATCAAAATGAAACATTTCAATTGACCCAAAACAAAATGTTTTTAAAAATTTCATTTTGTGGGAATATCAAAATTTGCTATTTCTGCTATGTATAAAACTTTTTGTATATCTGACTTTGCTGCTATTTGCATATAAGCAGATTTCTACACATGCAGAAATCTAGCCACTATCTCTACAGTAAGGGCCCTGAGCGCCTATCATTTTCACTGAACTGCAAGAGTACAGCATCTCTCAGGAGCACCTTGCTCCTGGCAGGATTAGACTTTTATTCTTTCAAATCCAGCATGAGAGAGAAACATGTTGTTCCTATTAATTATCCAAGGAAAATAATTAGATGTCCATTCTTCCCTGGAATGTGACCTTGGCTTTCATAGGGATGTATTAAGCTATGTACCATAACAGCGATGGACCCTCAGCTGCTTTTGGATGTCTCAGGCCCTGCATCAGCAAAGCTCTTAAGCATATGCACAGCCATTGAAGTTGAGCAAGTGTTTAAAGTTAATCATGGGATTATGTCCTTTGCTGAATAGGCCAAAAATTCATTTTGCATCTCTGCCACGCTAGAAGGTTATGACGTCTTCTCTCAGATGCAGAGCTGACCACAATTGGCCATGCTTTTGTCACCTCCAGAATGGGTTATTTGATGCTCTTTGCATAGGTCTATGCCGGAAGACCACTCAGAAGCTTCAGGCAGCACAGAATGCAGTAACCTGCCATAAAATTCTATTCTGTCTGCATTCCTTCAATAACAACAATATTCTCTGATCTGTACTAATTTCCAGCTGCAGTTCAAGGTGTTGCTTTTTACTGATAAAATCCTGAGTGGTTTGGTTCCTGTCTGCCTTATAGATTCCCTCTCTCCTCTGCTGTTTAGTGAGGTCAGCTAGGATAAACACTGCATTAAAAGACAAGGTGCTGGAGGAAGGGTGTTTCAGGTGATAGGTTCTTGCCTCTGGAACCTACTTCCCACTAGAGTTTGTTGATTTTCCTGGCACACTGAAAACCTCATCTGTTTCCCAAGCTTTCACAAGAGCAAGTGGATTAAAGAGTAGAGGTTTTAAGTCCGGATGGACTGGAAGGAAGTGCAGTCCAATTTGTATTTTTGTAGGTACACTATTTCTAAATTGTTCATATATGCACCTGCATCCCATGATGTGCACACTTTATGAATCAAAATACTGGAATTAAAGACAGAAAAATCCAACAAGAATACATTAGGAAGGGGTATTTCAGAAACTTAGCCAGAAGAGTTAGGCTTTTGACTGGTAATCTAGAAGACAAAGGCTAGAGAACACCAAAAATAGAAAATGAAAAATCACCTTTATTATATACTCTTCATGGTAATATGTGGAGAAAATGGCAGCAGGGCCTTTTAATCTGTGACACTGAAAAGGTGTCAAAGATGCCCTAATTGTATGCACTAGTCAGAAATTTTTTATTTTAAACCCTGAAAGGGTCGTACCCAGGGTCACACACAAAGAAAGGGCAGGTACTCACTACAGGTTCATTTCACTAAGAAACAGTTTAAGACTAATCAAAAGACTGTATGACAGCCTTTCCGTCCTGGAAACTAAAATGCTTTTTTTTTTTTTTTTTTTTAAATCTCTTCTTTAATGTAGAAAACTTCACTGCACGCGGAACTACATCCATCTGAACTTGTTCCTCTCTTTCATTCTAAGAGCAATCTCTGTTTTAGTCAAGGATGATATTCTTTATTCCAATTCCAACACAGCTCACTGTTCAGAGGATCAGTCGTCATGGGTAATGCAGCTCTTTTGGCTACACTGTGTAATATTTTTGCCTTTTAACCCTCTCCACCTCTGCATCCCTGGTGAATTTTTGGCAACATTAAGTTGTTAGTGGAGGGAGCTGTGAGAGAACTAGTGGTAGGTAGAACTGGGATGCAACTGCAGGAGAAGAAAGGGAGTGGAAGAGCTGGGGGGGGAGGGGTGAGCTAATGCAGCTTTGCATATTCAGGCAGGTAGCAGAAGAATTTCAGCTATAAAAAACCCAGAATCAGCCATTGCCCAGGATAAATATGACCGCGAGGAGGTGGGGTAAGTCAGGGTAGAGGTTAGAAGTGGAAGATACATCAGCTGGGAAATGGGGAAGGCTAGATGTTCCGAGAAGGCTCTAGCAGCCGTATCTGGAGTTGGAGGAGGGGCATTAAGGGAGGGAGAGCAATGAGAGACGGAGTGGGTATTTGTAGGAGGGAAAGAGGGCTCTAGCAACCAAGCCACACCCCCAGTAGTTGATGGCGGGCTGTCATGTGCATTCTTGGCAAACCATATGGCACAGTAGGGATAAGGCATTAACACAGTATGCAGGGTTGCAAAATCTCAGAGGTTGAGAAGGTTGAACAGTTAAATGGTATATCACATACCATTGTACAGAGCAGTGGTTTTCAAAGTTCAGGTCAAGACCCAGTACTGGGTCGCAGAATGCAAGGCACTGGGTTGCCTTGTTCAGCACTCAGGGACCCTGGCAGCTGGCCAGTAAAAACTAGTAGTCCCTACCTGTTCTGACACCGTGCTGCACCCCGGAAGTGGCCAGCAGAAGGTCCGGCTCATAGGCAGGGGGGCCACGGGGCATGACCAATGAGAGCTGGATGGGGCGGTGCCTGCGGGTGAGAGCTGCGCGGAGCCGCTTGCACGCTTCTGCCTAGGAGCCGGACCTGCTGTTCGCTGCTTTCGGGGCGCAGCGCAGTCCACAGTGCCAGGACAGGCGGGAAGCCTGCCTCTGCACCCCAACTGCGCCGTTGACAGGAAGCCACTGGAGGTAAGCCTGGACCCCAACCCCACGCCCCAGCCCTGAGCCCTCCCAAACCTGGAGCCCATTCCTGCACCCCAATCCCCTCATCCCCAGCCCCACCCCAGAGCCCGCACCTCCTCCCCAGAGCCCTGACCCCCTCCCGCACCCCAACCCCCTTCCCCAGCCCAGAGCCCCCTCCCACACACTGAACCCCTCATTCCTGGCCCTACCTCACAGTTCTCACCCCAACCCTCTGCCCCTGCTCCACTGGGTTGTGGGCATCAACAATTTTCTTCAACTGGGTCGCCAGAAAAAAAGTTTGAAAACCACTGGTATAGAGTATCCCCATCTCCTTGGTTTGGAGCAGAACTGCTGCAAAATAAATCTGCAGACACTGCTGAAGACCTCAGAGAATTTAATTTACAGTGTTTTTCCCCTGCCCATTGTGGCTAAATTTAGAGTATAGAAAAAACTGAAGAAAAATGCAGTGCAGTATTTTTATATTGATAAAGGTACATTCTTCCATTGTGCAAAGCTTTTCCAAGTGACTCTTAAGCTATATGTACACGATCTGTCAACTGAAACACTTTCACTGAAGAAATATTTAATACTGGCACTGTAAAGAATTGTAAACAGGTCACTTGGATTGACTTCTCAGGGAGTCAAGAGTGCTCAAAACCTTGCAGGATTAGGCTCTTGGCCCTGATCATGCCTGTTTGCACCCAAGTTGTTTCTGTTTTTGTCCTGCAGTTACTCTTAGTTGCAGCTGGATATTCTTGCAGTTGGACTGGTCCAGATCAATGTGCTGTTCCCTAATTTCTGTCGCATTGTTGTTGAGATGATCTGATGTTGCTTGGAATAGCGGCTGCTTCTTACACTATTTGAACCCTGGTTTAGTTACGTAACGGCTTGGAGAGTTTGACTCTCACATCGTGTTTATGCATTCCACAGAGCTATCTGCGCTCTTGGCACTGCTCTTTTAAAATGAACCGTTTATAAAGAATTGGAAGAGGTTCTAAAACTGAAGGTTTCAAGGTTTCTGAGTAAATTGGCTGCAAGGAAGCCATAGAAATAAAGTTTTGGCTAACTAAATTCCTTTGTATAAGCATTCTTTATATTTTAAATGCATCACCTTATTTCTAGGGGCCATTGAAAAAGAACTTTTCTATATTTTGTACATGAGTTATTGACATAAAAGAGAGATAAGGGAACATAATCTGTAGAGAGCTTGGGTCTGCAGAAAAATGTTTGTAACAAAATATTACTGCATTTTCCTTGCAAGAAGTTTAATCCTTGTTTGTTTGTAACACTTCAGGTTGGCTGCAAGGCTAGTTTGGTATTTTTCCAATATTGTGTTATGGCAAACTTTTACTGGCTCTTAGTTGAAGGACTTTACCTCCACATCCTCCTTGTGGTAATATTCTCTCCTAACAGACATTTCACAGCCTATCTTCTGATTGGCTGGGGTAAGTACTTAAATATATACATATTTTATTCATATTTTTAGCTATGGATGGGTCAGGCTCAGTGTTTCCCACTGAGATAACATTATCTCCTATTAGACAGCTACCATCCCTGGGCCTGATTCCACAGGCTAAGACAGCCCCTTTATTCTGTTCCACCAATGCAAATCTAGCCACCAAGAAATTGTTCTGGCATAAAAGGATGTAGAGCTGGCACAAAGGCTCCATGCCACTCCCTCACAGGCCACTGAACAGTGACTATGTAGAGGGCATGGCCAGGAAAAAGTGGATATGTGCAGAACACTTCTGTTTTCTCAAGTATTCCCACAGACCTGAATGCCCCCTGGAAACTATCGGCAGCTGGGCACAAGTTAAGGCCATCTTGAGGTTATCCTAATCAGTGTCAGGAGCTGGTTGACCCCAGAATAAGAGAAGTGCAAAGCCACCATTCTCCTTCTCTCTCACATGCCCAGTTCCTGGGTCTGAATGGAGCTCGGATTCAGTGATGAATCAGGCCCCACATGTTCACTGTATTCTTTAAAAGTCGGGAGTGACTTTAATGCCTTCAGTGAAAATGCGGGGTTAGAAGCACTTGCTTATGCCTCATTATACAGGAAGACACTATGGAAGCTGCCAATTCACCTTAGATGCTTGTCAGAGAAATGGCTCTGTCTTTGCTGGGCATCTCTTGAACTGCAAAGAGTGCCAAACACTGTGATGATGTGATGTGCATGTGTACGATACAAGATGAGGCCACTAAATTCATTTTCACAGTTATGTAAACTGGGATTTGAATTCAACTCTCCAACAGTGAAAGTTGGACCCAGTAACTCTTTGTGCCAGCCAGTCCCTTATTCTTTATCTTTAATATACTTTCCAACATATTATAAATATTTTTGTTTCATTTTTACACACTAATTCCTTTCATACCCGAGAGCCAAAGGAAGGTTTTATAGATGTGAAGCCATTAGAAACTGAGCATAAAAGTATACTTGGGTGTAGCTGGGAAATGGGAGTGAACCAATGTGTGTGAATGCCTTTGTAAAATGATCTGCATGTCAAATTTCACTCCTAATATTTATCTTCATTTAGACCAGGGATTCATAACATTTGTATCCCCAAGGGTCACACTCAGGAGCCTGAGGGGTATACACCCTTTGTATGTTCTGTAAGAAATAAATGCACTGACCTGTAATAATTCCTTGTGCTTGTCTTCACTGGGAGATGGATAGGAATTGTTTGCACCCTGCCCCTGGTCCCCACCCTGCAGCTACAGCTACACTTTATTATTGCATGTGCTGCATTTTGCCTCATGCCAGACCTTGTATATTCTAGTAGTAGATGGTTACAAGAGGGGTAAGGGGTTTCAGTTCATAGATTTTTACAATCATTCGCTATAACAAACTATAATTTCTTAGGAATTCCTACAGTATTCATCATCTTGTGGACAGTGACAAGGATCTTTTTAGAGGACACTGGGTAAGTAGCTAGGAGGATGTAAACTTTATGCTTCAAACTTGAACTACAGCAGGGCTTCCCCTGGGATTGCACTGCTTGCACAGGGATAATTTGCTGTTTTGAAGGAGGTAAATAGCAGAGGACTGCAGTATCTCAGAGGTGCCAGTCGAGTGACAGGTGTTCAGAAGTTATTCAGCATGCAGTTTTATAGATGCATCCAATCCAGGGCCGGCTCTAGGATTTTTGCCGCCCCAAGCAAAAACAATTTTGGCCGCCCTCCCCCCACCCCCGTTTTTTTCTTACCCCACCCCCAGCTCCGTCTCAACTCCGCCCCTTCCCCAAATCCCCAGCCCTGCCTCCTCCCCCCCAGGCTCTCAAGCCTAGGAGGGAGGGGGAGAAGCAGCGCGCGCGCCGCAGCCGCTCGGGGTCTCCCCCTCTCTCCCAGGCTCTCAAACCTGGGAGGGAGGGGGAGCAGCGGCGCGCGAATCAGCTGTTTCGCGCACCGCGGCCACTCGGGATCTCCCCCTCCCTTCCAGGTTTGAGTGCCTGGGAGGGAGGGCGAGCAGCGGCGCGCGAATCAGCTGTTTTGCGAGCCGTGGTGCGCGAGCGGCAGCAGCGGAGGTGAGCTAGGGCGGCCGGGGCACATTTTTAGGGGCAGCATGGCCGGCGCCAGAATGCCGCCCCTAGAAATGTGCCGCCCCAAGCACCAGCTTGTTTTGCTGGTGCCTAGAGCCGGCCCTGATCCAATCTGAAAGCTCTGACAGGGATGAAGTTAAATAGTTTATGGCCAAATACTGCCCTCTGTGGTGCATATGTGGTTCCTGTTGAATTCAGTGAGAGCTATCTGCACCCAAGGCCAGTATTTGACTTTTAGAGAAGCAGAGGCACCACTAAGAGTGTGATGGTGCCATCTTGCAAAGTACTAAGCACTCTCAACTCCTACTAGCATCCCTGGTAGTTGTGGGTGCAGAGCACCTCACCAGATTAGGCTCTAGATGACTTAGAAACTCTTGTCCGTGGCATCTGCAATAGTTGGTACAGATGATGGATTATTCCTCACTTCTCAGGCAACCTATTTGCAATACCTCTAAAAAAATAAACTGAAAGTGATGCCGTTCTTGAATTGGTACCTTGCTATGGTCATCACAGTTGGAAGCTTACAAACTATTAAATGTTTCTCCTATTTAAGGTTTATCACTTGTAGCTTCTATTCTCTCAGAAGTTTTAAGCTCTGTTTCTTCAGAAGTGCTGAATACATACTAAAGTCAATAGGGGCTGTGGGCACTGAGAATGACTGACTGTAAAGTCTGATGGTCATTGAAGGGTAAAATGGCTTGGGGTGGAAAACTGTGAACAAATTATTTAAAGGGGGAAATGAAAGTCCAATTTTTCAGATGAAGTTCCAGGCTTATATTTAATATTTCCCAAACCAGTTCCACGCATCTGTAACCCAAATAGTCCAGCAGTAAATTATATCCTTTTAATTGTATCTGTCAGTTACGTCAGATCATTCTGCTGCCCCAGATACTGTAGCTAAACTCTTATTGGAAAAGTGTCATGACATAAAGAGTGAAACTAAACTTGAGAGTCCCTCTGGGGTATCTGTCTGGGTTTCTTCTAACACTGCTCTGTTTTAATTGATTTGAATGTGCACATTAAATAAAAATAAAAGCAGGAGAATATCACAAGAGCAGACTATTTTTATTTTGACTTGTAAATCCAAAACACTTGTCTTCACATAGCTCGCTTGCCAAATAAAATTAGTATTAACATAATTTTCCCTTTTACTCTCTTTATAGTTGCTGGGATACAAATGATCACAGTGGTCCTTGGTGGGTTATACGATTACCAATTTTAATTTCTATTATAGTAAGTAAACTACATTTTGCAATATGAATTATATATCAGTTTGCAGCCTTGTGCAGTGAATATACACATTATTCTTTACAACTGGCTAGAGATAGGCAAAAACTCCATTTTAATGAAATAAATTACTTTATAGGGGAGATTTTAAACAGATGCCCAGGTCATTTAAACTCATTGCCTTTAAAATTTAGCTGCCTCCTGTTAAATGACTGGTTGATTTTGTTTGTTTTGTTTTGTTTTAAACTCTCACCAGCTCAAGAACCTTGGGGGAAGAAAACATCAAGTTAAACCTTTCACGTGGATTATAGATTTACTTTTGTTTATAAATATTATTACAGCAGGAAAGAATGACAGCTGCGTATATCTTTCCTTAACTAGTAGCCTAGAATTACATACATTAGACATGAAACATTTACACAGAAGGACATTTTTAGCATGCTACACAGGGATTGTGCTCCATAGAGTTCATTAATGTTAACTGAACACGTGCAGTTAAATTCTTGTTCATTGTGTTGAAGATGTACCCATTAGTGTGCATAACAACAGCTTTACCTCCAATGCTAAATACAACTGCAAACTGATGCATTTTGTACAAATTAGCTGTAGCCTTCAGCATCTCTTTTGGTGATATTTTGTGGCTTCTGAATTATAGTAAAAAGCAACAGAGGGTCCTGTGGCACCTTTAAGACTAACAGAAGTATTGGGAGCATAAGCTTTCGTGGGTAAGAACCTCACTTGCATCTGAAGAAGTGAGGTTCTTACCCACGAAAGCTTATGCTCCCAATACTTCTGTTAGTCTTAAAGGTGCCACAGGACCCTCTGTTGCTTTTTACAGATTCAGACTAACACGGCTACCCCTCTGATACCTGAATTATAGTGTTCATTAAGGGTCTAATTCAGCAAAGCACTTAAGAATGTGCTTAACTTTAAGTGCATGCCTAAGTGAGGTGCTGAATCAGGGCCTAAACAGGCAGTCTACTCACTGAATGATCTTGGTGTCAATCCAAAGGACCTTATTCCTCCTTCATCAGAGTGAGTTCTACATTGTTTAAACAAGACGGGGCAAAAGGTGGTTCTTGGGTGAATTTGCATGAAATGAGGATTCACCAACATGAATGTTTTGCTACATAATGGGATGGACACTCAGCAGATGTACAGCATGAAGGGAAGCAAAAGTCCAAAAGGAGTTGGAGAAGTAAGGAGAATACACTGAATGATAAAACAAAATAAACCCTACAAAATATTTCAAAAGTGCAAAATTAAAGCTCCTACTGAGCACTTTTGATTTAAACAACTACTCTGTATGCAGCTAGGGTTGCCAACTTTCTAATCACATGAAACCAAACACCCCTGCCCCAACCCTTCTCCGAGGCCCCACCCCCCGCTCACTCCATCTCCCGCCCCTCCGCTGGGGCAGAGGGTTGGGGTTGGGGGGGGCCCAATGGCACTTACCGCAGCTCCCAGGAAGTGGCTGCTGGGTCCTGCAGCCCCTCGGCGCATGGGCAATCAGGGGAGGCTCCGCACACTGCCCTCACACCAGCAGGCACCGCCCCCGCAGCTCCCATTGGTCACAGTTCCCAGCCAATAGGCACTGCTTAGCTGGCACTCGGGACCTGGCGGCTGCTTCCAGGAGCCGTGTGGAGACCCCACTGCGCCACCTGGGTCCCTTTTAGACCGGTAGAAAACCAGACACCTGGCAACCCTATATGCAGCTGAGCTTTCATGGGTCACTGGTGTCCCAGAAAATAATGCTTCAAGCTGACCCTTGAAAAGTCCTAGAACTTGCAATATCTGAAGACAGCGGTTATCCTAGTGCATATTGACAGACTTGTTGGTGCTCTAGAAGGATTCTGGCAAGGGCTGGGAAGCCTGTTTGATGGAGGAGAGGATGCTTAATTAAACTCTTCTGAATCTTAAACTGACCAAATTTTAATTTGATTCTAGAGTTACACTGAGGTACAAACCAGCCCTCTGTTTTTCTAAATCGGTAATTGAATTGATATAGTAATAAAGTATGGCAATGTCCATGTACATGGACTGTATTGGCTCAGGTTGTGCACACATTTGGGATCAGCTGTCTTTTTCCAGATCTGTTTTCTCTCATGAGCAGCATGCTTTAAGGGGTGCGAACAACAAAACAGAGCCTAGTGCTTCCGCTATTTAAGCTGTAAATAAAATCACACTCCTGTCGGATTAAGTGATCCCCCAGCTGTTAATTCTGAATCACAGTTTTGTATCTGTGGTGTTAATTTGTGAAAGAGCAGTTCACAGTGGATTTGGGCCATTTGCAGAGAACTGAACTGCACTGCTGAAAGAAGTAGGAATGGACATTCAATCCCCTAGTGCGACGGATGAGTTAAGGTGCGCTAGTTACTTTGGTCTAGATTGTCTTTGCACCTAACGTTTGATAAGAGGCAGAGCCTACCTGTGCCAGCACAGGAAGAGCCCTGGGTAGCTGTCGGAGTTACAAATCTTGTCCTGTTTCCCCCTTCCTTTCTCAAAGGGGGAAGTAAATTGTTATAGGCCTTTACTTGATGCAACTTGTTCAGCTCTGTGGGGGCAGATCAAGGCTCCATCTACTTTCCACCGCACCCACCTGTCATTAGGTGAATACCAGCTCTGTGCAGCCTTCTCTGCTCCCTGTGCCTGGATTCTTAATCCAGGAAAACACTGTGTGACTTTATGCACCCTGTGCAGATATATAGGGGTAGGTTAAAATCTGGCCATTTATTATTCGTTAGGTAACACTGCAAGTATACACATGCCCTAATTTTCAAACTCAGGTGCCTGATGTTGAGTACCCAGAAGAACTGGCCGGAATATCCACAATTCCCACTGAAATCTAAAGGTGATGCCTGTGTTCAGCACCTGTTAAAGTGAGGCCACTTTTATCTAGATGCCTAAATGTAACTTCTGGCAAACAAGTTTGAAGTTTGAAACTTGTTTGCCAGAAGTTAAGTAGCAGAAGCACTAGGCTCTGCTTTGTTGTTCTCACCCCTTACAGCATGCTGCTCATGGAGCTTTGCAAAACATATTGTGTAAGAAAACAAAGTCCTGCTGCCCCAAAGAGTGTGCAGTCTGCCTCAAATACATGTGATACATGAGACAACCGTTAGAACCAAGACATTATGGACAAGTTGTCAGTAAGGAGATTAAGGTAGGAAGGCTGTGAAATAAGTTGTTTTTGAGGAAGGCTTTCATGAAGCAAAAGGAAGGCAACTGGAATATTTGAAAAGGGAGGCTGTTCTGTATTCACCATATGGAATAGCATGAACGTAGGCCCAAAGTGGAGTGTGAGAGGTGGAGCAAGAAGGGGTATTCGATGAAGTGGGAGGAGAGATAGAGGCAAAATGAGAGTTGTGTGACGGTCTGAATGGGAGGATAAGAGTATAAATGTATTTTGGAAGGAAAAGCAAAGCAAGTGAAGAGAGCAAGGATTTATCTCTAATAGGTATAACAAACCAACCTTCACTCAGTATTCTCCTTTTTGGCATTAGTTTCTATGTTACTTCCAATTATTTTAGCTGGTTTAGGGGATTATATTTAATCAGCTGTTGATTGCTCTAAAACAGCATTCTCAAAGTGAGTTCTTCAGGGTCAGTCCTCACAGTCAATTCAGCATGTCAGAGGCCTTCCCCTGGTCTTTCCTCTGAACATTTTTGGCCTGAAGAATGTTCCTTGGCAGCCTTCCATGCGTCATGCTGTGCACATTTCAGAGCCTCTCTGATTTCTTTAATTGGAGATGTACTATACCAAACAGTTCATTTGGAGTACCACCCATGTTCTCCATTTGGCAAATGCTGCCACAGCGATCCTCTTCCTTCCCCTCTCCCATACAGGCTGCTCTCATTTGTGTGTCTTTTCAGGTGGACACAAATCTGAATTAATAGGCTTTCAGAAACCAGAAGCAGTCATGTAGCATATCAAAATAAGAGAGTTGTGTCCCTCTTGTTTTGACATGTTAAAACTTCTGTAAAGGACTAAATAACAAGAAGGAGGTAACAAAAAGACATTTTAAATGATACATGTACTTGCAATGTAATTGGCTCAAAAGTTACTGTCAGTTTAAGGTAGCCAAAATGATAAGATCACTGATCTCGTGTCATTCCACTACCTTCCTATCTTCCTACTTTGTCATTTACCTCCACTGCTGTACCCCATCCCTGACACTTCCCTGCATTTATATTACTGGCTTAATTTGCTGTCCCTTAGCAGTTCGTTCACCATTGTGTATCATCTGCTTTCTGTATAAAGAAATTCCACCGCAAAGAATATTATAGAACTAAATCTACAGTACTAAAGACAAAATCTCCTAAAGTGTGAACATACACTGTCATTTGCTTCTAATCTTGTTATCTAAACATATTGAAATTATATGAGACTTTAAACTAAATATATATTTTTAAGATTAATTCGGATAAATTGTGGTCTTTAACAACTGTCCTAAGTGATCATTTGAATTATAATCTCATATACTACCTAAAGTATTTCTAGGATAAGTAGCACCATGATATCTAAATGCCTAATCTCCTTTGGCTGGATTGAATGCCCCAGTAGCTTTGTCTTTTGAAGTGATACTCACATCATGCATGTGAGGGGGGAGGAATAGCTCAGTGGTTTGAGCATTGGCCTGCTAAACCCAGGGTTGTGAGTTCAATCCTTGAGAGGGCCACTTAGGGATCTGGGGCAAAATCAGTACTTGGTTCTGCTAGTGAAGGCAGGGGGCTGGACTCAATGACCTTTCAGGGTCCCTTCCAGTTCTATGAGACAGGTATAGCTCCATATATTATAAACAAAGATACTGTTAGCTATATACAATGCTTACAAAATAACACTCAAGACCAATAGAAAAAAATTGACTAGCCTCAAAAGAGACCTAGATACAAATACTTGAATATGTAGTTCACCCAAATATAGTGCTTCAAGATATGCCCTGTGGCTCAGAAAACCAATTATTTTATTGTCCTTTTAAAAAAGGACCACCGTTTTTAATGTTTTATGATTTATAATAGTTTGTATTACAGGAGAAATTAGGGACCTCAGTTGAGACCAGGGCCCCATTTTGATAGGCACTGTACAAATACACAGCAAGAAACAGTCCCTGCCCCAATTATCTAAATAAACACAGGCAAAAGGAGAGGGGAAACAGAGATGAAGTGACTTGCCTATGGTTACCCAGGAGGTCAGTAGCAAAGCCAGGAATAGAATCTCTCTGCCACCACAGTGTCTTAACCATTAGACCATATTGACTTTAACGTACATACGTATAAAATGTATATCCCCTGACCCTTGTATTGTGCTTCATTACACAAACCTGTGGACCCAACGGCAACAGTGAGAAGGCCTCATTCTGCTGCACTAACAGTGACTTCACTGGGACTTCTGCGTATGGACAGGCTGCATATTTATCCTCTTTCTTTGTTTCTTTTACTTCAGTGAGGTCCCCTTCTAATTTTCTCTTTTACAAAAGATTTAGACCTAATTTTCCTAACTTTTTTTATATAATTAGGATCCTGTGTCCTGTCACTTTCCTCCACCATCCCTTCTTTAGCCCTAGCATTTCCTTTAACAGTAAATGACAGGCACAGAATGACATGCAATTATTATAATCATTTATTATTTATTTTCACTTAAAAATGATACTGGGCATTTCATAGAAGACACCAAAAGTCATGGTGCCTCAAAGAGCTTTCAATCAAAATGTTAGACCAAACAACCAGGGACAGAGCTAGGGTGGGGAAAGACTAGGGCTACACCCCTGCCAAGAAACAGGTTCTGTTTAGCTATGTGCACAGCTTGATGATTATGTTGATTATTTTGTTTGTTTTTTAAATATAAAGAATAAGATATTGGTCCCTGGCTCAATACCAGAATGTTTTCCTCTTGTATTTGATGCTTCTGCATCCCTGATCTGAGTTAGCTCACTTTACTGCTGTTAAGCACTATGAAGAAGGTTATATGGATGTAGGATGTTATACCACACCTAACATTTATATGTCACTGTTCATGTTCAAAGTATTTTATAGACCATGTTACACAATCCAGCACCATCTTACATGCCTGGCACTAAGGCGTCTGTTGTATAGATTGGGAACTGAGGCAGAGAGGTTGGGGACTTGCCAAAGACCAAAGAAGAAGACATTATGGGAGATGTAAAAAGCAACCGAGAGTCCTGTGGCACCTTTAAGACTAACAGATGTATTGGAGCATAAGTTTTC